TTGTTCTTGTCAAGTATCCATTACCCTGAGAAAAGAACAAAACAAAACAACAACCAAAAAAAAGAGTTCAGATATATAACCTTTATCTTCTAGAAAAAAGAATGCTTTGGTGAAGACAAGATGCCCTCATTCCCCATTAGCTGACTGCAAAAAATGGGGGAAAAGTAGTCTAAAGCAAATACAGAAAATATTAAGTACAAGATACTAATAAAAACATTTTTCATAAGTTACTGCATAAGTTACTGCATACTTCAGGGAGCTCTGTTGTCACAGACAGATGAATGTAAGTTTAAAGTTCACACAGATCTGTAGGACTTGGCCACAAATCATAAATGAGTCCATTGTAGAGAAGCTACAATGTAATTCTTTGCAGACAGATATTACAATGTGCAACTGCAAATATCAAAGTTCACTGAAAAGACTCCTCCTCRGTCCCCTATGGGAGCTTATTCTCCCTCTAGTTTCACCCATTGAAGTGTTGTTGAGTTGCTGTTTACAGCAAGGCAAGTGAAAAAATTTTAGTWAAAACCAAACAAAACAGTTTCACAGCAGAGGAGTGTGAGGTAACAACTGGAAGGGTGGGAATAAATCAGTTTTGCTGTTACAGGATAACAATGTGGGACATACCCTACAAGCGTTTCACACAATTCATGTCCTACAGCAATACTGAACAGACCTAAAGCAAACTGGGACAGTCTGAAAAGGGTGTTTCCCTTAAAAACATCATAATGTTCAAATTAAGATGCAAGGCCAAAAGAGTTTGGAATATTTACCATCATGATTTATTGTATATTTTTTGTGCACTTGCAGAAGCCAAAAAAATCGTTTCATAAGCAAGAAAAATGTATTTTCTTATGAAATTGCATCCTATGCATTTTTCTTTRTACCAAATAAGACATGAACTTTGACTCCAGATCTTTGTAAGGCTGAACTACTCATAATAGCTCTTGTACTTCTTCCAGTTTCTCATTTTAGTCAGATTGTCAAAAGTTAATGTCTGAGAATTTCAAGTCTGAGACTTCTACTTGTTAATAMAGTACAGTCACCTTTGCAAAAAGCAGCTGGGTAAAAAGATGGACACAGAATACATGATCACAGTAAGCCACATTTCATTAAAGAAAGTTACAAATATATAAAAAAATATACAGAATCCCAGGGAAATCAGATAAAATCAAGCTGGGAGCTCACTGTGCCATGTGACAGCATGCTCTCTAATTATTTTCACTGTAGAAGACACTGTACAATAAAAAGATCTGAAATCAGAGCAAAAATGTCCCATCCTCAGGCCAAGAAAAACAGCAAGGGAAGGAATGAGAATAGATCTGAAAATTACTTGTAGGAAAAACATAGTTAATTTTCCTCCCTCAAGAAGGGGAAGAAGGTCAGTTTACACTATACCTTCTTCCTTCCTTCAATTTCTAACACCGACATTTCTATCAGCCATATTTTCTCTCCACTTCTCCTTATTCTTTCCTTTGTGCCYATGCAAACCTTACCTTCTTTGTTCTTTTCACAGTCTTTCATCATTTTTCCTGTAATTATTATCTCTACTCAGTTCTCTATAGTCTCYTCTTAATTCTCACTGTTCTTGATCAAAACCAGCCACTTTCTGTGGAACATGAAACTTCAAATAATGCAATCACAAGCCATACCTGGTTGATGCCCTTCTTGCATGATTTCAGCCAGCAGATTGGATGCAGGCAAAAGCCAAATTTTGAGAATCCACCCATTTTAAATTTCTCTTTAAAAAATAAAATAAACCAAAGTCAAACACGTTTGGACATCAATTAAACACAGGAAACAGAGAGTTTATACCAAAGCCTCAGTCCAAAGACTAAATTAAAGCTTACTTTGGCAAATTGTTCATACTGGCCATTTGGGAGGGGTGTGGAAATTGTTCAGACAGAAGGAAGAATAGGAAGAACTTGCTTGTCTTGGCTACTTTCTCTCGTTTTTCCATTCTTTCTTTCTTTCTTCTCCTGTGTGTAACACCCACAGATTTCCTAATGAGCTGGTATGCGACCCACCACACTGCAGTGTGGGTGTAACTCAAATGAAAAAGAACCGTAAATTAACAAGTAACTTGCATGGCTATTTACATTTACTGCCACAAAAATGAAAGGTAGTGTCAAATAATATTAATATAAACATAACATTAATACTAAAAAGAAGCTGTGATAGGTGAAAATTTTCTCTTCAAAATAGTTATTGTAGTAAGGAAGTAGAAGACTTAACAAGTCTCTGCTCAACAGATCTTGCAGGATTAGGTCTGCTCATCGAAGCAAGGTAGCTTGGCTTCTAGTTCTGAAAAGAAGCCTAATACAACATGCCTTGACATTAAAGGTAGTCTAAAATCTTATTAACACTGGTCTAATAATTCTCTTTTCAATAAATTTTGAATACATGCTGCAATGTGCACAGCAAACTAGTTTAAATTGTCCTGRAAAGATGGAACTTCAAACAGAGGTGGAATGCTGACTTGGGATACTGGAAATAGTAAGTAGCCAGTTAATAGGCATGTGAAGGTTCCTTCCATAGACACACACTTCCTTACAACAGCAGGGGTTTTACAGCAGTGAAACCCCACACATACTGAATAATTTGGAGCAAAAGAAACCACACTGAGYTTGAAGAACGCAGAAACTCCTCAAAACCTCCAAATGCAACAAYAGCTGCAGCTGAAGCCTTTCCCCAGCAGCACCTCCGTGAACCTTGCACCAGCCTCGTGCATTCCTTGGTGTGCCACAAACCACTGCCAGCCAAGCACTGGCCTGGAATCTGGCACTTCATGTGTGTGAAAAACACAAAACCATCTCATTGCACCCTCCAAACAGATCCTAGAGAGGAAGGCAGAACACAGGAGGTAATTGGTAAAGACTCTTGGCCCTGTGGCTCACCTCAAAGGGTCAGTCCTTAGAGGCARGGCCCGCCTGCCCCAGTGAACACCCACCTATTCTGTTATTTTCTTCCCAGGTAAGAACAGACTTGAATGGAACTTGAAGAAACTTGATTCTTGGACTTGAACAAAGCAGTCCTTTCTTACAAATTACAGCCTTGAGCAAAGCAGGCTGGGAGAAGAGGAAAGAGTTGGCTTCGGAAATGAAGCTTAACATGAATGTTCGTTATCACAGCCTGTTTTCTTCCTTTAGTTCTTTATTGTTAATTAATGACGGTGAGATTAACTGCAGAAAACTGATGGAACAGTCATTCTGCCTTATCCAAAGTAAATATCCTTTAATCTAAAACTGTCACTGATATTACCGATGACCTCCTCAAATGCATATCCCTGTTTTTAATTTTCAGGAAACAAGGGCAAGAGTCAAGCAGAAGATCAGTTCACAAGCTTGGGACAGCACACCAGCATTTTTACTGAAAAGCTCATGATATGAAAGAAAATAGAAGACCCTAAATTCTCACAGACACCCTCAAATTTGTGTTGCATCTGCCCACATATATAGAAACAATTATGTCTGGCAGTTTTACCTTATAAAATCATCATTTTTCAAAACCTGCTTTTTACTGAAGCAAGAAACTTAAAAAAAATCCCTTGATAAAAGAAAACACAGAAAAACCCCAACAAATCTTAGAAATTCTGATCCCACCATCTGTAATGTCCCTCTGCTTTTACTGAAGAAAATTCTGTTTGTTCACTGATAATCAGAAACACACAGAGGTCTGAAAGTTCATGTGTTTGACAAACATTAGTAACATTTTAAAGGGATAAAATGTAGTTACAACTTGCAAGGAATAAAGGAGTTTGGAAATCTTTTAGTGGCCTCAAGCACCTTCTCCTTAGGTGCTATTGTRTTATTGGGAGTGGGAAAAAGCTCTCTCATCATGCCAGAAGAATCTGGCTCCCATATATACCTAAAATTTTGCAATAATAAGCTAACTATRGAACAGGTAACCCATGTTTCCTCATTAAAACCACTCATTATTATTGACAGTGGCATTTAAAGCTGCAAYCATGTAATAGAATTCTACAGGAATATACCTTTTCAATAATGGAAAGCATTTTAAGAGGTAAAGAATTTGTTCACAACTGMGGTTGTTCACATAACATGTTGAATTCTAAAATTTATGAGCATAATGATCACATATGGTAGGTATGAAATTCTATTTATTGCAGAAGTCATGCTTCAGCAGAGATCCCTCAATGTACTTAAGGAGATGTGACAAACCATGGCCAGCACAGGGCTTTAGTACYGCCCTTCTTTTCTGCCACAAGTTCATAACATGCTCCAGGCTAGTAATAAAAACCAGTCATTTTTTGCCTGACAACAATTTTAAAAGAAATTGCTGGTATGATATCAGACCGACAGATAAGCCTATCAGCTGTAAACCCCACCATTATATCAATGAAATGGTATTAATTAAACAAAAACAGGSAGCTGTTTAGCCCCAAAGCTGACCTAACAGGCAAAAGCTACAGTGAGCRGTCATGAGCTTAAAATGTGCATGTACTGAAATGGCACTCATTGGTCTAAACACCCTCAMACACACACAAAAAAAGAATTGGGTAAGGTTCTTAAAACTGTTCTCTTCTGCACTCCCAAGGTCATGGGTAGGGCTGCCAAGCCAGCAGTATCACTAGTGAAATGACAAATGTCATTTATCACATCACACCAACTTTTTAAGACTGAACAGATTACCAAAAGCAGGAGAAGATATTATTTCTGTAYTCAAAAATTCTAAACTAAATGTTTGAGATAAATGGAGACTTAACTAATCAGTAAGATTTCAATCCATTTTGCAGGACCAAGGATAATATAAGTAATTTTTTAAATTTTAATGATAGACTCTCCAACTAATTACATTCACTTTTAAGTAACACAGAAAATTAACTCACTTAATTCTTGCACTAATATAGCTGAAGCAATTCCAGACCCAAACATCAACTATTTCAGCTCTTCTTGATGGCAAATTTCTCACAGAAAAAAATAAAGAACAGTATTTTCCACTACACTTTATTTCACACTAAGTTAAATAATTTCTTTTACCAGTAAGRAATAAAGGTCCAGATGATCCATGTTCCATGGTTTTCCACTGACCACGTTGTTTAGGTGCTTCCAAGTAGTGYTTGACCCTTGAAGCAACAACTTCTTCTAGCAGCGTGCAGACCTCCTGAAAGAGAAACCACTGGCCTGGTTAGATCTACATTTACAGAAATGCCCACAGGCACACAGCAGAAATCAATACAAAATTACCCCCTCCCACATTAAAAGGAAAAACATTGAGAGGAGAAGCACATGAAGTAGGAAATGAATGGGAAGAAGGGGGAGAGTCAAACCATTTTTCTACAAAACAGAGGAAGGACATTATGAAATTCTTATTTGGCAGATGAAATACGTTATATTACAATACAAACATTTTTTAATCAGAAATTAGTTTCATATGCATGTAAAGTAGGGAAAAATACATATTAAAATGTGTGACAGCATTAAGTATTTAAGCAAAATTTTAGTTAAAATCCTCTCAGGAACTGTCACACACAATTTCCGTGCAAGAATCCTTATAAACCACAACAGGTAAATTTTGCTTCAATTCAGTGTAATTGGGGGGCGGGGGGGGAGACTGAACAAATTAGGTCACAGCAACCTAACTGCTCTAATTAATTTAGATTTTTTGGCTCCTAAACATAACTGTTCATATCTTTCATACATTCTTCAACAAAGCACCATAAAACCACATACGACTCGTGAAGAACAAAATCTTCAGCCAGAATTACTCAGAAAAAAAAAACAAAAACCAACTTGGAGTGAAAACAAAAAATTCATCTGTTGAATACTGGAATAAGTTGTAAGTTTAATACACACATTTGAGACTTTTCCCTCTGTATTCTCATTTTCCATTGTTCTTAAGTAAGTGCTCACAGAAATGATACTTTGTGGCACACAAAAATAAAATTTAACCTCTATAATGTGTTTGGGTAATAGATAAAATTATATAAGGAGTATCTAAACTGGGTAGTAGATAAAATTATATAAGTAGTATCTAAACTATCTTGGCTTGAAATTTCCTTTTGATTAATGTAGAAAGTACTCAGAACAACAAATTTTTAATTCATTGCTCTAAATGAAAGCAGGGCACATATATTAGTCAATCACAACCACTATTTTCTCTTTACAGTGAGAAATCAATTTTTCCTTTCTGCTTGTAGAGTACAATTATAAATTACTGTAGTTGCTTATTCTTCTGTTTAACTCATTAAAGTGATCCCATTACACATTCTTTCATGGGCCTGTGTTCAGGTTAGAATGAAAAGGTCTAGAAAGCAGCAGAAGCATAGTGTGTCTTTCGTTCCTTCTGCAGCAATAAACATTACCATCCACTTCCTTCATTTACATGGAACATATTTTACTCGTTAGGCCTATGGAAACATTATTTAAATGGCTCTCCATAAAGTACCACACAGAGCTCAGAGAGCAAAGATAAAACTTTGATTTTGCTACTCCAGGGGAATGAAAGAAAGGGCTGGGAATTTGGAACGACAGAAAAAGGGGACAAACTGCAAGATCTTGCAGCAATCCCAAGAATACTCTACATCCAACTGGTCACAGCAGTGTGCCACRGTGGTCATTCCAACACCCAGATGTGTTTCCTTACACCAATCCCATGCTTTGGGCACTGGTGTAGTTCCCATCCTACATGTGCTCCAAGGAGGAGATGGCAGCCAAAAGGCCACTGGGACAGCATCAGCAGGATCCATGTGCTCAAGCCAAAGACTTTCACCCAGGGTAAGCAGGGGATCAGCAGGAATTGTGTTTGTTACAGAGGCATCCACATTCTCCACAGACAAGCACAGAGGGCTGCACCATAACTAGTATTTTCCAGACTTTGGAAACAATAAAAAATGTAGAAACCAATTGCAATGAACAAGCTCTCAGAAAAAATATGTCGGAATATTTTTTTCTTTAGGACCTTTTCTGCCCTCACACAAAATTCTGCATAGTATTTTCAGGAAGCGAACTGCAAAGCTATTTGGACTCGCACTTCTGTTGTTGAAAATATGCAACCTTTGTACTTCTCTCGAAACATGCAGTCACAGAGATGTACTGAATGCTGTCCTGTCATGCCTCTATACTAAATCAATCATGATCTAATTTCCTGAAATTCATCTCTTTTGTTTTGGCAGTCTTACAAAATACAATTTGAAAACATTTAAAACTCAGATAACCAGGAGAGTAAAACTGGTTATAAATAAAAATAGTAATGAGCATTCATTCAGTCAGAAAAAAAGAAATCTAAAATATTTCCCCTATTTTCTTATTTCTCTGCTTAATAAAGCACAAATCAGATGAACCACATACTGCTAAGTATTCTGCTTTTGCTCCCGCAGGATATTAATTTATAGTTTCTTTTAATTCCATTTAAATGTATTACTCTGAGATGTCTGGGGACGCTGTGCAGTGACAAGTTAATGATGGCATTATTAGGGAAGCTATCTGCTGAAAATTACCGTAACAGAGACTTGCGGGAAAGTCCACAGGCATCCCAAACATGTCCTGCCTTCGTTTTCAATAGGGAACTTCTCAAGTTCCCACACAGGCTGACAGGGGAAAACTCCCATCAGGAACTCAGCACAAGATCGTGTGTGATTTCTGTACAATTTGATGAAAGTTACAGGCAGAATTTTGCTGCTTACTGATGTACTCATTTTCCACAATTTCATCAGCATATATAAAGGATACACTTAAAAACAACAGAAGTTTCTTTTTTGCAAGATGCAATGGTTCTACTATGGTTTATCATGCATATTTATATGCTCTTGCACCTTCTAAATGCAACACCATTTACACTTCTCAGAAAGGGAAAAAAAATAATAGAAAGGTATTTCACCAACAAAATGATACTTGTCACAATCTGATTTATATCACTCAGGATAATTTACAAGCATCCATGGGAAACTTTTTTTCAACAATTAAAAGTTCAGTCAGAAGAATCCACACAGCATACACACTCATGTATGCGCACACAAACAGAGTTAAAAAATTAAAAAGCATATTTGGGTCATTAGTGACCCAAAAATCACATTTGTTTGACTTAGGGGTCCCACAGCAACCACTGATGGTTAAGTACAACTAACAATATTCTCATAACACTGAAGAATTCTGAACAGTTCAAGGCAATGCAACTTCTTCCATACAGACTCATGCATTTGAAGTAGAACTGATATTTGCTGTACCTCTTTCTCATGATCTGAAAACCAGCTGGTGTCTTTACTGGAGCCTTGAGGCAAAATATGAACATCCACCAAGACAGCAAAGTTCCCACACTGGAAAAAAAAAAAAAAAAAAGAAAGAAAAAACATGTTCAATTGTAGCTGCTAGGAAGCACATGTCGAGCAGACAGGGACATAATCAGGTAAGCACATGCCTCTGATTCAGAGTTACAGCAGGCAGAACATTAAACTGTGGAAGTTTAGGAAGTATTGAATTACGAATTTATCATTGTTTGCAGACTTAACAAGAAACAAGAGCACCGGATCTATCTTGGATAGCTCACTGAAATGTCTGCATAATAAGCACAAGTACGTGGAATTTTCTTCTATCTAAATGCCCCTTTTAAATCTGAGTTCAAGCAAATTCTAATGTGTGAAAAATTAGCTATTCCTTCRCCAAACTCGCACCACTCTATTTTCTGAAAATTTGGTACCACAGTCATTATCTAGTTTGTGTTTTAAATTTATTAAGTACTTAAAAATTCAGCACCTTAGAAGTCTCTTTCTCTCTCCAAGCTACATAATGTAAAGAACAGCAAGGCTGAAGGACTCGGCAGAGAATATTTGGTATTTAGCACATCTGTCATTTAGCCAATACTRTACGTTGAATGGTTAAATAATAAGGTTCACCTATTACTAAACACTATATGAAGTTGTTATAAGCTACATCTGAAGGCACATCAAGTATTTCTGAAATTCCTTGGATTGGTTTTGGCTGAGGACACAGTGGTATACAAAGTTTGTTTTCTTTCACTGGCACATCAGCAATTATCATGAACTAACACAAGGAAGCGTGAATGGCATGAACACATCCCACTTCCACTGGGCACTAACTCACCCCTGCCTCTTGTCCTGCACAGAGATGTGGCATTACAAGCCAATGGTTTCCCTTTTTTTCTACTGCAACACTGCACCAAATCTCACTCAGACACCSTTTAACTGAGCAATGTACAATGCAAAAGCCAATTTCATCATTTTGCCCTGGCTGCTTGTGGTGCACTTGTGATGCAATGAACTCCCTCCGTGAGAAGACTGGACATGTGCAGTCATGGCAATTGCACATCTGGAATGTSTGATGGAATAGAAATAACATCCTGATCCCAGACAAACCTCACATGTGCCCGGACCATCCAGCATGAGATTGGTCTGGTTTCAAGGGTGTTGCAGCACTCRCTTCCTGTCCTCACTCACTCTCTCCATATTTGCTCTTCATTGCCAAACATCTGCAAAGCCCAGCCTCAGAATTCCAACTGCTAACAGAGTTAGTTCTAGAAACAGTGTGATATAKGGTTTTAGACTCCAGTTTTACATCACCTACTGTCTAAGGGGCACATCTGTATCTCAGGCTTATGGAATAGCACAAGTACACCTGTTGAGAGTACCCCTACCTACACAATTACACTAAGAGCAACAAGATTTCGCACTGATTTTATTAATCATAACAGCATATTTGTTAAATTTAAAAACTTGTTTTATAAAACATTTGGATCTGTAAATTAACTGCAAACAGAAKTTTTTAAGYAATGATTCAAATATAATTAAAATGKAATTCATGGCCAATATTGAATGTAGCTAGAAAGTTTGGCAAATGAGACAGGCATTGTGAAATCATTTTGAGAAACTTCTAAGTTACTTATAGGTATCAGTCACTGAAAGAGCAGAATGCTTTGATCTATTGTATCAAAAGGCTTCTCTTTCCTCCAGAGAACCAAGAATTGCCAGATGGCTGAAACAGCAAACCTTTCCAAGCTTTAAATGGATGACAAAATATCTCACAAAAATCTCTGGTGAATCATTAGTCAGCTCCAGCAAACTTTAAATTGACTACTGAACTTCAAAGTTAGCAGACGCTGCAGATTATAAAGTGAAAGGCAGTAAATTATTCATGGTTCAGCAYTAATAACAACAAACAAGTAGTTGATACATCAAGAAAATTCAAATTATCAAATGTTTCATGTTAACTGGCAGCATTTTCTATTGACTACAAAACTTTATATATAGACACAGATGCAAAGTATAGATCTGCTTTTCAAGGAGACACAATATTTGTAATTATTTTCTTCTGAATGGCACTGTTTGTCTCAGTTGCCAATCTTGAAACAACAGGGAAAAAAGAAATAATGAATCACATTSAAAAATACATAATGGAACAGTTAAAATTACCTTTAAAATTTTACAAACATGCCAAGCACTTGTAGTACTTCAAAGATAAAACAAATACCTATAAATAATGCATAAATCCCTATAAAATAGACAAGATTTTCCAATGGAAGATTTCTATCCCTCTGAGCTTTGGAGAACTCTTCTTGTGGACAGCACACCTGGAATTATTTCAACAGCCATAAACCAACCATTTTGCCACACAGTCAGAACAGCTTTGGGACAGGACACAGGGAAGCATTACTGCCACAGGTGAAGAGGAACAGGGGAGTCAGAGAATACAAGCACAGACTCCCTGAGCCTCACTGCCTTCTATTTTTCCTAAGTCCTGAACATGATATGAACAACAGCTCCCATGCAGGCCCCCCTGCACTCTTGAGCTGCACAATACATGGTAGAGCCTCCACCTGTATTTATGCTTTCCATGCCTTCACATGGTATAGATCTATGGATGATACATACACTAAGCAGCTCAATACAACTTTGGCTGCTTCAGCGGCAAAGAGCCAAGTACAGACTAAATGCCAATGCAAATAATTGCAGGGAACAGAGACAAGTGAAAAAAAAAAAGTACACAGTTTATGTTAGCAGATTTGATGCTCTCACAGAAGTTTCTTGTTTTATTTTTATTTTGATGACACGCAATTCCATGAAAACACTAGCTTTTATTTTAGTGGGAATGAAGTGTTTCCAGTCTSTGTGGCTGCAAGATGCAACTCGTGACTCTTAAGCACCACAGCTGAAAGGCAAACAAAAAGAACAGCAACTTTTAATTTCACRCTTTCAACATCCATCTCGAAATTTGCACTGAAAATTGTTTTTTGAGGTGTGATTGTCAAAACTGAAACTTGAATGCCTGATTTGAAACATACTTGTCAAGAATCAATAGGAAACATTTCACTGAAAAATTAAAGACAGAAGCAGATGCTCCAAATTGATATCCCCCATAACTCTAGATTTCAAAAACTCTTCATTTTTACAAGCTGTTTTTAATGTTCACATTCTTATTGTAACAGTCTAATGAAATTCATTGTGTTACTAAACAAAGGGCTTTAAATGATCTCAGAATGTTGTTAGTGTATTGTTGTACAGCGATGGCATCTAATTCAGAACATCTTTTCAGAAATCAAATTGTTTATACAAATACATTAAACACKTCACAGACTCTGCAAATTAAAAATATAACCAGACATGCAACATAAACTGAACAAAACCCAACACAAAGTGGTCAGTCAAGCAAAGCCATCTGCTCATAACCTGTTGAAACCTTGAAATAAGCAGATATTAGATGAATTATTCCAAATCCCCAATGAGTAAATGAACCCAAATAAAAACTTTGTATTTCTATACTCAGTTTTACATCAGTGGGCTCCTACATGGGTACTCTTTTAAACTGCATCACTTGAACAGCATARAGCCAGTCCTCATAAACAAAAAGTCCTTGGGATGCTGGAGATAAGCACAGTGAGTTTGTACTCAGTTACACAAATCCAAATGTGCTGTATCATTTAAGYAGACAGGACTGGAGAACCAGCCTCCCAAGACACATATTACGGTTTCCCATTTCTGTGATTACGGATGTGGGCTGGAGGGTCAGACTTAATTGAAGCTGAGTTGGAACAAAAACATCTGATAGCTTGGCTGGTTTTTGGGATGGGTGGGAAGGAGCCAAGCTGCAACCCTCAMACAATTCAAAACTTCAGAACTGCTCCACGATGAGCATATAGGAGCTGTTTATTTCTGCTGTTCTCTCTTCCCTGAGCACTATGCTACTCTGTTAGTTACAGAGAGAATTTTATCCCAGTCTTAGATGATGGCTATAGTTTAAAAAAAATTAAAAAAATTAAAAAAAGTAATACTTGATCCCAATGACCACTCCAAAATGTCACTGGAAGTCCTTTTTGGCATTGTGACAAAATTGATAGGCCATATCATCAGTCTCCAGATGGCAAAAGCACAGCCAAGAGATTTTGTGGGAAAAAATAAAATAAAACACACAAAAGACACTTATGTGAACTATCTTGTCTTAAAATAAACAGGAAAATGTCAATATTTTCCATCCTAAGTTCTTTCTAAAAATCAGTAAGGGTTCTGCATTGAATCAAGCAAGTTCTAGTATCTACAGCACTMGTGTAATTATTTATTGTCATCGGTCTATACACTGTGCCAACTGTATTATGAAGAAATTTATGTTTTCCACACTTATTTAAAGTTTATTCTCCTCCTTTATCTTTCTGATCCCAAAGAAAATTATATTTTCCTTTTGTTTATACTTTWAGCACCAATGATTTACAATATTTTGATTTTTTCTTACACAGCAATAGCAAGAGGCAAAAATCACTTAAGCAAGTGAGCATACAGCACAAGAGATATATTTGTCATTACACAACATTAAACTTTCATTTACAAGCATGTCTTAGCAGCACAATAATTTGAGGAAATCCACAGCTTCCCAAACCACAGGGGACACTGTTCCAGCACTTAAATGCGTCAACCTGTATAAACACAGGAGTCAGGATAGGTATTTATGCCACCATCACTGCTGGCRGCTGTCAGGGGACAAAGGAATTTTGGTGACAGCTAACAATGTCCATTTTTCATCCTTCTAAGCAGATAAAGTTACAATTTGATATGTGTATGATTTTTCCACATATTTTTTCTCCAGAATCTCCAGGGGGTTGTTTTTTATTCCTTTGGTTTTTTGGTT